TAATTAGGGTTGGAGCTAAACTCTGCAGGACACCGGCCCTCCAGGACCGAGTTTGGGCACCCCTGATTTAAAACAAAAACAAAAAAACTAAACTGAACAAAAACACAGTGAGTGATAAAATGTTGAGATGAATGGGTCATCAGATTTTCATCATTTAAAACAAAAAAACTAAACTAAACTGAACAAAAACACAGTGAGTGATAAAATGTTGAGATGAATGGGTCATCAGATTTTCATCATTTAAAACAAAAAAACTAAACTAAACTGAACAAAAACACAGTGAGTGATAAAATGTTGAGATGAATGGGTCATCAGTTTTTCATCATTTAAAACAAAAACAAAAAAAACAAAACAAATAAAAAAAACAGTGACTGATAAAATGTTGAGATGAATGTGTCATCAGTTTTTCATAATTTATAACAAAAACAAAACAAAAACCAAAAACACACAGTGACTGATAAAATGTTGAGATGATTGGGAATATTAACAGATTTCTCCAGGTTTTATGGAACTTGAAAGAGCAACTTAAACAGGATAGCATTAGCTGAATAGCCTATTGATCCCTGAGATGACCCACATCTCTCATTACTGCAACCTTGTTGGAAAACCACTACAGTCTTGTTTTCATTCAGCAGTGTATCTTCTGCATTGTCTTTTGACTCCATACTTGACCTTCTGAAACACTAAGATAAATATAGTAAAGTATATTATTAAATCATGTGAACAAACCCCCAGCTGGACAGGAAAAAAATGTAGTTCACGTCCATAATAAACATTTCCTGACAATTTACTGACCCCCATGTCATCCAAGTTTCTTTCTTCAGTCGAAAAGAAATTAAGGTTTTTGAGGAAAACATTCCAGGATTTTTCTCCATATAGTGGACTTTAACAGGGACCAATGAGTAAAAAGGTCCAAATTGCAGGTTCAGTGCAGCTTCAAAGTGCTCTACACAATCCCAGCTGAGGAATAAGGGTCTTATCTAGTGAAACGATCGGCCATTTTCTAAAAAAAAATATATAATAATAATAATAAATGTATATACTTTTAACCACGAATGCTCATCTTCACACATTGCGAAATCATGTTGTAAAAGTCACGTGCAGTTAGTTATTAGTCTGTGTGTTTTGGTTCAAAAAGGTAGGGTAGGGCGAAAAACTTCAAAATTATCTGACTTCCCCCCAACTTCAAAATTATCTGACATAATTTTTATGTTGTTGTTTTTTTTTTGTAAAGAGTGTTTGACTTTATTTGCACGTTTGCTTTGTAAACACTGGGTTGGTGCTTCCGCCTATGTCACGTGTAGGTCGAGCTAGTGCAAGACGAGCATTTGTGCATTTTGTTAAAAAGTATATACATTATTTTTTTTTTTTTTAAATAACCAATCGTTTCGCTAGATAAGACCCGTATTCCTCGGATGAGATCGTGTAGAGCCCTTTGAAGCTGCATTGAAACTGCAATTTGGACCTTCAACCCATTGACCACCATTGAAGTCCACTATATGGAGAAAAATCCTGTAATGTTTTCCTCAAAATGTATTATTCCTTTTCGACTGAAGAAAGAAAGACATGAACATTGGATGACATAGGGGTGAGTAAATTATCAGGATTTTTTTTTTTTATTCTGGAAGTGAACTACTCCTTTAATCATCTTTTGTTTGATAGTTTCACTTAGTCATTTTTCATTGTCATTAAATTAATAAATCAATAACTGTGGTACACAAGTGAGAATTAGATCAAAAAGACTGACTTCCACTTTCTATTTTAAGTATTTTCTTTGTCCTTTAACCCGTTTCACACTGAGTAACAGACAGTCAGCCTTGGGAGTGGTAAGCCACTCGGACCATTATGTCCAACCTGTGTTCCTTAACCTCATCCCAGTTAAAGGTCAGCTTGCTAATGGTCCACGCAGATAATTTTAATACACTTTATTCTGCTCCTGCAGCCGGGGCTTGGCTCAGTCTCCATCTGTCTGTGCTGCAGTCCCTTCCCTGCAGTACCTGAGAATGCTTGTGTATTTTAACCAAAAATGATTCTAAAAACCCAGTGAACAGGGATATCTCACTATGGACCCATAGGCGTAGCTTGACGTTTGAGTTTGGGGGGGCCAAACCGAACCGGTGGAAGAGTAAATCTACATATTCACATAGAGCAGTGGCAAGTGCTGAGGTTGTCATGGTAACCACATACATTGCCCACGAATTACAGCTGCGCTTCTATTTTGCCACACTAAACTTAGCAATAAACACGTTTAAAATGCACAATAAACATGTCTGTCAAAACGATCTCAAAGGAGGCTTTTATTAAGCAAATCAAGGAGTGAATTACTCATCCTCTGTTTTTAAAACAGACATTTGTAGGGCTTGATTCAAGTTAATGCACAATGAGGCGCACACTTTTTATTTAGTCTTATTGAATAGACGATAAACAGTTTATATTCTAAAATCTATTTAAAGGTTGTGTTCTGTGAAAATTAAATAACATTTGGATGTAGATGGTCGGCATAAAAGTAGTGTGCAGCTAAACCTGCTGTGTCCTGTGGATCACCTTTATCTGATTGTCCGGGTCCGGAATCATTAAGCACGGCGTTAATATCTTCATCTGAGTTTTTCGTTGTCTCCAGATTTCTCTGCAGTTCGTGTATGTTGTTAAAAACGCGGAACATCATTTTATTCCACACAACAGGCAAGCATTACCGTTAAGTCTATTATCCACCAAAATGCAGATTCGTCACGTGACAATTCTTACGCAAATGAGATTGAGGGAGACGTTAAGTTTGTTTTGATTTATTAATTTACTTACAATAACAATTTAAAATGTATTAACTTTTACATGTTCACTTTTACATGTATTATTAACTGCATTATATGCATTTTTACTTCATAGAAAAAACTTTATAAATAAATATTTAGTAAAATTCTTAAATCGCTATGGGGGAGCCAGGCCCCCCTGGCCCCCCCACAAGCTACGCCCATGTATGGACCTGTGGAAAAATATATACAACCTTACGTAAGATTTTTAAAATGTGCTCTTACCAAGACTACAAAAACAGTAGTATAATATTATAATTATATTATTATATTTCCATGACTTTTACAGGCCTGTAAATCTTTATTTTAAAATTTCCCAATATTTCCAGGTTTCCCATGACTGTGAGAACAGTAAAAAAAAAAAATGTTGTATGGTCCTCATACACTGATTTTCTTCTTTGTTTTCCTCTGAATTAGTTCATATTTAAATTCCCAGAAAGAGACAGAGAATCATCCCAGACTCCCATTAATATTATATTAACAAGTAATTTAATCCACCACCAAACTAAACAAATTAAATACAGATTTCACATTTATTACCTCATCAAAGAGTCCTCAAAACAAACCACAAAAAGGGAAAACAGATTATTATTAATACGGTACAATGACAGCTAATACATTTCAGCTTTTGGGATTTAAAAGTGTCTTTTTTCTCTTCTCTGCAACCTCATAATTGCTCTTCGGCTGTGTTTATGGGATGATGAATGCTCTGTGAAACACCATCATTAACTGTTTGCTATTTTCATAGAGGTAATTTGGCTGAGCAAACACTAACTTCAGTCCAAACCAATGAGCATGAAAGTCATGGAAAGGGACTCAGTGTGTATGGTAAGAGAAAACTTGGTAAAAAAGAGAGAGTGTGTAATGTGCTGCCAGATAAGGGCTGTTACATAATAGGCAAGACTTATAGGTGAAAAAGGAAAAGAAAACTTTAGCTTAGCTGTCTGGAAACTGCAGCACACGGGCTAAAAGCCGACAGCCCTCAGCAAAACTCAGAAAAAAACACATTAATGTCTTTTAGGGTCAGATAATGTGACTCATTGATTCCCACATGACCCTAAAAGTCTTCTCTACTCTCTCAAGAAGCCAAACATGACTAATAGACAGAGCATTGGCCACTATGCCACACATTGAAGTTAAAAAAAGAAAACCCTTAATATATGTTTGGTTGCTTGATGGGACGCCGGAACAAATAAGCAGCAGATTTTGTTTGGGACAGTACCTCAGGGTGATAACAAGCTGCTCACCTTGCTTGCGAACGTCCTCTACAGCTGCGATAAGCTCCTCCTTCAGGTCCTGGCTGTCCTTAGCAATCTGCTCGCCCTTTTCTAGAAAGTTCTGCGTAGCCTGCTCCACGGACACAGCCAGCACGTGAGCTTTCTTGGAGCGTCCCTTTTTCTTACTGGATGGACCTTTGTTACTGGTGTTGACCAGGGTGGTCACCTGTGTATGAGAAGAGTCATAGATGAAGATAGATTGTGCAAAAGACTTGTTTTTATCACATTTTCACTGAGCAGAATATATAAAGCAAATCTGGCAACGTAGGTCATTTGGCACATGTAATGAAAATGTGTGATGAACACAAGCATGATCGAGCCGAAGTTTGTTCATCTCTAAACCAATGGGTCAGAAAAACTGCTGGGTTTGTTTGTTGCTTTCAGAATTATGAACAAGTAAGGGGCCACTCACAACAATCAAAGACATCCACATCATGTTTGTTTGTTTGTTTGTTTTTATGTACCATGTACATGAATACTATAGTGAGTAACAGTGCATTTATATCAAATCAGAAAGGTATTACCATCAGATGCCATTACTGTTCCATGGTATTGCCACATTTCTGTATGGATACAATGTCTGTCACAAAGTCTTGTCTGACTTGTCTTGAGTGTCAAGTGCACATCTTAGTTTAACACTGCACCACCTAATCAAATTTATTAAGTACATGCATGCATTTGGACAGGGTAAAAATTACATTGCCTATCTACATTGACAGAAGAGATTATTTGCATTGCAGATATTTCTGGCAATTTACCACATTTGTCTACACAATTAGATCTACACATTCCTAATAAAGCCTGCGCTGTTAAGAAACATTTTATGTGATGTCTAGTGACTCATTCAATAGTCAAGCTTTAAGCTCTCAAAGGGCCTATAAAACAGTGCTGGTTTTCGCTTTCTGCTGCAGGGCTCTGCTGGGACCGTTCTCCCAGGGTAATGTATTTTCAAGGACACCCACGCTTAGTAATTACCATAGTACAACAAAGGACTAACTCGAGTTCCTTGTCCAAACTCAGCCTATACAGCTGATAAAGCTTAGGACCCCATTTGCCTGAACATTTATCACAGTTATTCCCAAAGCTGATGCACAGAAAAACACTGGATTACATTAAGAGAGGTTTAATCAAAACAAAGCATAGTTGACTTTTAAAGGAGAACATAGAAAGTGATCTTAAGTAAATTCAGCTTAGACTGGGTTAATGATAATGAAAAACATGACATTGGGACAAAAGATTGAAATGATTTTGCAAGGAAAAGCTAATGCTAACAGTTTATATCGCCAGCAAATGTTGCATTACGCTTCATTACAGAAACAAGAGAAATGGCATTCAATCTAACACTCTTCACTAAACAGAGTTCAGAAAGTTCAGATGATACATTAGGGATAAATGCACAGTCAAGACTATCATTATCAGAAAGCAAACTCCAGCAAGGCCTTGGCGTGAAGAAAAGATTCAAAGATTCTGGTAATAAACTATGACAGCTATGTTGGGAATCAGTTGCCTCAGACTATACAATTATATGACTGCAGAACGCTGCTATTGACCAATCAGAATCAAGTATTTCAGAAGGTTGCCCATGCAAATAATGTTTCAGTACTGAATGAACTGTGGCTTTGAATGAATCAAGTGAGCCAATGATTCAGAGACCAATTCATAAAGACAGTCACTTGCATCATTTATGAATGAATCAGCTGTTTAAATTAATCAGCTGAATGATTATTTATTTATGTATTTATTTATGAATGAACGAACGAACGAACGAATGAATGAGAAGTGATGCTCAAATTGACAACAAATAGTTATTTGAGGCAGTTTAACTTCAGTGTACAAAAATCTGAAAGATTTGTTCTTTAATCAAATGATTTGACTTGTCAGCTCAGAAAATCTAAAATTCAGTAAAACTCTCACAAAACAAAAGCCAAAGTAGATTTAGGCCTGTCGCAATAATCAATATATCGCACAACAAAAAGTTGTTATCGTGACAGGCCTAAGTAGATTAGTAAAAAAAATATATATATATAATAATAATAATAATGTTATGATGCTTTTTATGGTCTCCGCCCCATATAATGTCAAAATATGCTTCAAAATTTCACCTTTTGTGCTGAAGAAAAAATAAATAAAAGTACATACCGGTTTGGAACAACTAATAAAAATGAATAACGACAGAATAGTAAATAACAAATCATTATTACTAAGTAAATCCTTTAATCCTGCTGCATCAGATTCAAAACTTATACTGAACAATCCTGTTTTACTATAAAGGAGTTCAGTGCTCCAGTGAGGGAATTCCCTGACACTAGTATCACTCATAACCACACAATCAATCCCCAACGAGACCTACCTTCTCTTGAATAACACTGTCAGTGTCAATAACAGCGTCAGCAAGACAAATGGAGCACTAACATTTATAAATGAACCCCAGATCTGGTATTCTCTGTTCTATAATAATGTGAGAACAATAAAACACCACAACACTCCCACTACAGTCGTTTCATAAGGACAGTGGGGAAGTTTTTAATAGTATTATGACAACAAAAGTGTAAAAAATGGTAGCAATAGAAAGTCAGTCAAGGCTGGATTTCTTGTGAACACCACCTCCTTCCTTGTTCTATGTAACATACGGAGATGAAGTCTATCTTTCTGAGCCCATGCAGGATATTGATTTGGCTGGCTTTTTGATCATTATCATGATCTGGTCAAAACTGACCATGAAAGCTGATAACTTCTATTTAGCATATACATGACATTTTATGTAACGCTTTAACTGTCCAAGGCTGTTTACTGGTTGTACCAGCTGAGTCCATATCAAAGCACATAGAGTAAAAATTATGTAAAACAGTTTGTCCTTAAATCAGGCTTGTCTTGTAATGGACCATTTGCTTTTGACCTAAGATTTTTACCTTTTCCCCTCATTTTATGTTTGATATTTCATTCCATCAAAACGGACATGTCAAAAAGATCCTTTCATCACTTTAAAAAATATAATTTGTGTTAACGATTGGGCCAAGCTGAAAAAAAATCACAGTTGTTATGAGCCCCCAGAAGGGAGTGATATTATTATCTTTAATAAGAAGTATTCCACTTTTTTACTTTTTTGTGTAAAACTTGGCTAAGTTTTAAGATATAATATTTAAGAGTCAGACAGACAGATTCACATATTGATTAAAATGTTACCACAACTACAACTCATGCAAAGTCCTCCAAGTCCATCTGACAACTCTGGTCTAATTGGAGACACACTCCACTCCTGGAGATTTATCGGCAGACAGAGACTGGGTTTCCATGGAGACGCCCACAGTCCTGTCAAAGCCATCAACCAAAGGTCCAGGTGAAAATAAAAAAAAGTTGCACTGCCACATGATATTTCACAGCACATTTTGTGCTGAACTTGCAAATGATAAATGAAGCGGCACAGCCACTCCACCTACTTCTGATTTCAAGGAAGTGCTGGTGGCAATGAGGTACGCTTAATGGTGATGCATGACAACAACAAAAGTATATAATATCTCCAGTGTCATTCCATTTTCTTGAAAAAGACAAAAAAAATAACAGGGTAAGAAACAAATTAAATGATAATGGAGAGTGTCCGCACATCTTTTTTTTTTCTTCTGTCTACAATCAAAGTAAAATGCAGGGCTAAATAACAAAATGAACAAAAAATACCATATAAAAAGTGGCCTCACAATAGGCCTCGTAAGGGTAAATCATGCAGATTGTTTGGTAATTATTGGCTGCAGTTTAAAAGCTCAATAGTGAACAAGGTCAAAGTTGAAACGTTTGAATTGAGTGTCACATTACAATACTTGACCTGCAACAAGTACATTGGAAAAAAATGAAGCAAGTCATTTAAAATGGCCTTTTTGAAAGTGGCATTAACCTTTTAACAAGTATAATCAATCAACTACAACATTTAGGATTTACTAACCGCTTGTGGCAGTGCAAACCCTCTTTTGGACTCAAAAACTACTGCCAGAATTTACTAAAGAAACCCACTGAAATATTAACGATCAAAAGGTGGGACTGTTATTTTTTTGTGGCTAACTTTACTAAATATTTCTTTTTTAGATGCACGATGTATGGGAGGAGAATATTTGAATTAATCAGGCAAGATTAGTTATTTTGCTTGCGGCAATTTATTTACTGGTATTTGCGCCATTTTTAAACACCCATAAAAGTATATCTTAACCCATTTTGTGCTTCGCATGCCTGTAGCAGTGGCTAATTTGCACTACTTTTGATAGATTGCATTGGTCATTATGAACATGAGCTGGCTGCGTCTGTCTTCTTTCATTTGCACATTGTCAGTAGATCACATGCAGAACTTTCCACTTACATCTGTGCTTTTATGGGATTGTGGTTTCACACTAATTTGCCCTTTTTAGTAAATTTAGCCCTTTAAAAAAAATACTAAATTAAAATTTGCATTTGTGCAATTGCACGCTTTGCGCCACTGCAGACAGAAAATGTGTAAAAGAAGCAAGAAAACAACTAACCATGCAAAGTTCCTTTGTCCTGTGCACCAGACTAACTTGAATGTTTTTTGTATCTTTCTAGCCATTGTCTTGAGATGTGACTGTTCCACTTCATTTATTAGATTTAAACTTGTATTAAGCACATTTGAATTGTTCTTTGACAGCTCAGTTAGACAACTGACCACAGAGTGATTCACAGCTGTGAGAATTCAGTCACTAATTATAGATCTCAATAGATGCCAGATGTCGTGCCAAACATGGCAGGGACTTTATCCTACGGCGAAAACAAGAAAAAAATAAAATAAAAAATGTTGACAGAAGTAAGGGAGGGAGGAAGCCCTAAGGGATGAGAAGTCAGAAGGAAAGAATGGGGACACATGTGCTTGAGCTGTCCCGAGGTCCAATTTGAGAGACATACCATGCCGAGCTGAAGCAGGTGGCCTGGAGAAAAGACTGACAGCTCAGTGTAAAAGCACCTGCCTAACTATGCAATGAGATCTAACGCTTAGTCAGGCTCGCTTTATCCTGCGAAACCTTGCTCACGGCCGGGCTGCAGATACGATGAGTTATTTCACTTCAGTAAACCAAAGAAATAAACATTCCTTTATTTAAAACAACTGCTTAGTGTAGCGGAAAGGGGAACCGCTGAGGGTCTGGCCGTGATAAAACTGTCAATGGCATATTA